TGCGTATGTTATGAGCCACTGGAGGCTCCTTCATATGTACAGAGTTTTGTGAGGAATGTGCCCTCACGGGCCCCTAGCCAACATGCACATGATCTGGGCTGTGGCCCCCAGCAAGCGTCGTGCCCGCCCTAAGTGAAGGCGGGCCTGAATATCCATAAGAGGCCCTTATCTCAGCATTTTCCAATGTGGATATCAGACAGTTGCAGCATGCCAGTTGGTTGTAGTGCAACGTGAGCCTCTCCCTGGGCTCCTTCCAGAAACAGCAGCTGCGTCAAGCCGTTGAGCCCAGGGCAGGGCGGTTGCGTCCTGGGCACACGCAGTGTGAGGCCGACACATCACGAAGTGGCCGCGGGTGAATCAGAAAGCAGCATTGTTGTCACAAAGGCCCAGCGTGCCAATGAGAAGACGGCAAACACTTGGAGCCTAGAGGCTCCCTGGACGTGGCCAACCAGAAAGGGCCCAGGCCCCCAACTGTCGGACAGGGCCTGGACGCAGACACTGGGGCCCGACTGGAAGCTACTGGGAGCTTCCTCGGCCAGGCCCTCACGCCCAAAGAAAGGCTGCGACTTCCATATAGGGAGGTCGCTGGCCAGAGGCTGGCATTCTGGCCTAGGCAGGCAATGCGGACAAGCTGCTGCGTTGCTGCGAAAGTGTTTGCATGCGCGCTGCTGGCTGGGGCGCACGCGGGTGCTATGAGAGGAGAGGGGCGCTGCAGGACAGCGGGCGCATGGCAGTCATAGCCGGCTGCAGGGGCGCATGCGGGTGATGGGCGAAGGTGGTCTTCGGTAGGAGGCGCATGAGTGGGTGGTCAAGGTCCGATGAGGGGAGGAGAGAGAACGTACCTGGTGTATGCGGGAGGTTGGCCTTGGTGTTGAGGTCATGTACATTGGTCTTCAACATCGGAGTGATCCTGTTGCAAGAATATATATAGGCTAGATAGGCTCAGTAGAGTAGGTTGGGCGCTGAGCGCCAGACAGAGATGAGCGACATTGGATACTGTGTTTGTGGGGCCTGAGGGTGATAACATTGGCACACGAGTTCACTGCTTTGCTCTTATTGGGATGGAATCTTGGTGCATCTGACCTCTCTGCTTGGTACATGACCATCTGGACATCTGTTTGATTTTGCAACTTGGTTTTCTGTCTATCGCTCTCGCTCGTATTCCTTGCAGTTTAATAGTCTTATATTTTTTTCCAGGGAATCTTAGCAGTCTGTTTGGCGTCATCCCCAATCAGTTTTGACCACCTTCTGTGGATTGTTGGTGTTGGGTCTTTTGTATTGAGCAGCATGCTGTAGCCTAGTTTCAACTGTGTACTCAGTTATTGGGATAGGGGTTTTATCCCATGAGCCTGCCCTAGGTTCACAGCGCCACTCGATTGGGTCAAACTGCAGATTTTGAATCGTGGTTTCAATCTGGAATATTGAATTCAGCCGAAGTCCTAGAGTTCGTATTTTGTATAGGAGAAATGCTTCCACTATTTCAGTTTTGGGTTCAGAGTTATTGATTTTTGGGGAACCTGGTTTTGAGTGGTCGATGGGGATCGATGTGAAGACTGCTCGGTAGTCGGAAGGTCCCAGTCTGTAGGAGAATTAATATGCTTTCCTTGGTACTGATTCTTACTTGAGGATGCCCCATTCCCTGCTTTCCATGTAAAGTCCTCTTTGAGCAGATCCACACAGCCATCAGGGATGCTGTGAATTATGCATCTCAGGTTCTCAGATAGATTATGGACTGCTGGTAGATGTTTTCTCAGTTGTTGCTCCTCAGTCCAATCCTTCTTGTCATCATCCCATGTATGGCTTATTTTCCAGAAACCCTTGGATATCCATGATAGCCATCTGCTATCGTTGTTTGTTAGGGTCCAAGAATGGTTACTTCTGCCCTGCATCCAGGTATTTCCAAGGAAGGGTTGTCTCAGGACTTCCTCTTTCGACCTTGGCTTCTGGGTTTTCTGGGGCATCGTTTCTCTCCCCAGTAGGGGGTGGGTTACCGTGGGTATTTTAACTGTTGAGACATCTGATCCCTTGGGGTCCCTCTAGGCCAATTTTCCTTTCTGTTTTAGGGCTTCAGTCCTTGACCATTAGCCAAACCACTCCTGACATATCCGCCGGGGACTCTATTGGGGCTAGTTTATGAATGTTGTCCCTTGCTAGGTTGGACCAGGCCAGGTTTTGTCTCCTTCACAGTTTGATTATTCATTTGACTTGCAGGGCTTTGGTTTCTTGTCTCGGGTCAATGATTCCTAAGCCCCCCACTGAGAGCTAACTACAAACAGTTTTCGGTGTGTGTTTGTCTTCATTGGGGTCACCGGCCTACAGATACGCTCATGCTTTCTTGTTCAGTTCTTTGATGATACTGTTGGGAACCATCGAGATTGATGCTATATACCAAAAATCATGGAGAAGATAGAAGTATTGATTGTTGGAGCTCTACCCAACAGTGGAGTTTAGATTTGTCCCCACTTCCCATTCTGTTGATGTAGTTGGCTAGTAGGTTTTGGGCCATCTGTGGGGTCGGTCCTTCTTTGGTGACTTGAATGCCCAGGAATCTGGCTGGAGAATCAAGATTTTCCCTCGTCATTTGGTTTTCTGGGGCTTGTAAAGTTGGTAATGGCTCCTCTGATAGCTACCAACCGCTGCTTTTTCCCAGTTTACTTCCATTTCCGACGCCAATCTGAATTCTTTCATGGCTCTGACCAGTGCTTTGAATGACATATTTGATGCTCTCTGATCAACGTCAGCGAACATAATAGATGTTGGGAAAGAGAGGACATGCATTGTGCCAGTGTTGAAGTCTGGAAGTCTGTGGATGGATGGGTCTTTACACAGAAAAGATGCTATTGCATCCATCACAAACAGGAGATCGGTGATGCTAGTGGGTCGCGTTGACGCACGGACCTTGAGATTGGGTGGCAGTCTGAGATTAGACCACTGATTTGCACTCAGCTGATTGCATCGTTGTATAGGATTCTTAGTAATTTCTTACCCATTTCTGGGATTTGTGCCCCACTCCCATCTTTTCCATGCTGACATTCAAGAAGGCCCAGTGGACTTGGTCATAAGCCTTTTCGAAGTCGAAAAAGAGGATGGATGTGTGTAGTTTCTTTTCGACTGCTTTTTTTGTAGCCTCGTTCAGGGTCATCGCGTTATCAAGGATATAATAACCCCCCTCTCACCCAGCTGCCGCCGATGTTTTCAAAAAAAAAAAAAAGAGAGAGAAGGATTTGGCTACCTTTAGCATTCCTTCGCTGTCTGAGTGGACAGTCGTAGAATCATTGTTCTCCTTCATCACCTCTATTGTGCTACCTTAGCTCGGGTCTGCTAGGGAGACTGGTACGAGCGGCCTCCCCTAGTATGTCCCTGCTGGTTGCTGCAGTCTATTGGTGGGGAGCCGCACCTGCTGGAAAAATCGGGTTCAGCGTCCCATATACATCAATAAGCACATGAAAAACCAGTTGGATTAGTGATAGTTAAACATGAAAAACCAGTTCACAACCAACTCCTGAGAGAGGGGGACACGGGAAGGGGGTCTGCCTCTTCAACCCCACTAGGGGTTGCCAAAAAACATATAAAAACTAGCCTCCACCCTACCACGCCCCCTGTCCTAGCCCCCGTACCACCGCAGATCTACCAGAGAAGATGCAGGTGGGGGAGAGGGATTACCAAATTCCGGCATTGAACTCATGTGGACCGACTCATCCACCCTGGCCCAGTAGTGAAAAAAGAGCTTGTAGTCCCTGACCAGCTGGATGTTATCCTCCCCTTGCCCCCCTTGCCATTCCACCTCTGCCATCAGCCCCCTGGCACCCCCCCCACAGCCATTTGTTACAGAATTGCGTTAGTTATGTTTTAATATAAAACATTGTAAAGTGGCTATTTTTCCTTTTATATTTTCCCATTGGATTTGTAATTCCGTCTGTATGTATTGCTTGACCGTTTCCGTGAGTTCCTGGCCGCTATGCGTACCCCATCCATTTCCAATGTGCAGAGTCTTGCCCAGAGGGCCTGGTAGAACCCTTTTTTATGTATTGGTCAAGACTTACAATTATCTGTACCGGTTTGTAGTCTAACCCCTTGTGTCATGCTACCGTCTTCACCCGAATAGAACGCCTGGTCATTATAGCTGCATTTGGCCCAACTTTCAGTCCAGATGCTGCGATAATGACCGGGCGTTCTATTCGGGTGAAGACGGTAGTGATGGTAAGTTAGCATCCTTTGCTGTCCCCATTAAGGATCTGGATAGGAGGAAGTAGTCAATTCTTGACAGCACTGTGTGCTGGACTTGTATTTTCTTCACTTAGGAGAACACTCTCTTATCCGGATATAGTGTCCGGAGGGGGGCTCCATTAGGTTATAATCCAAGATCAGTTTCTGAATGGGGGAAGCTTCCTGGGAGTGTTGAATGGTCGTAGATCGAGATATACTGTCAGTTGTGGGATCTATGGTTGCGCTCCGGTCTCCAGCAATTACATATGGTGACAGCAGTGGGATAAGTTGTCCAACAGATTGTATGTTCCGCTGTCTCATTGGGGGCGTAGATGTCGATCAGTCTTATCTCTTCTTCTTTCCACTTGAGAGCCAGAGTGATGTTTTTTTGTTTTTCAGTATTGTTTTAACTTTTAAGATCACTGTAGATTGCTCAGAGAGTAACAGGTTTAAAGTTTAAACTGGAACAAAAGAATAAATTAGGAAATGTAGTATTCCTGTCGATACTTCTCGGGGAACGGGAGGGAGAGGAGGTAGGTAGTATTTCAAAGTTTTAATTATACTTTTTCAATGAATGGTATGATTGTCTCATGAGTTTGGAAATTAACAATTTTGAAGCATAATAATAAATAAATAATAATAAATAATATTACCGCTGTGGTTGCTCGGTGTCTCCTCGCGTAAAATCGAAACATTTGTGTCTCATGGAGGAGGGACACGTTCACAAGCAAGTTTGTGTCCTAACTACTTTGTTGTTCTACTTGCACAAATCGTTGTGACCCCGATCTCCTCAGGTGGGGCTGATGCTGCAGGCACTTGGGTATGGATTCGAATCTCATATATATGTGGCATCTGGAGAGATATATGGTGGTGAGAGGAGTATGGCACCACTGCGTAAACTCTTTCCTAACCTGCATACGAAGGCCACACTCACAACGTCTGAGGAGCTAGCACCATTTTCCAAGCATGGGTTGCAGTTGTCGGCAATAGACCATATCGTGTGCCAAGAAAGCGATGTTTTTGTCGCCAGCAATAGCGGGAACATGGAGAGGATTTTGGCCGGTATCAGGTGCGTGTATGCATGTGTGGATTTGCTGAGGTATGCTTGAGCGAAAAGGAGTGAGAAGGAGATCTTTTGAAACATTACAGCCCCTCAGTTGAGTAAAGAGGAGGGCCAGGAACAAGTTGTGTATACCCTTATCCCATGGCCACGATTAACGATGGTTTCCATCTTTCCATGGAGACTCAGCTATGGTTTTGTGCACACCCATGCTGACAGCATTCAGGTGGGGAGGACGAGTTTGGGAAGGGGGGCTTTACAGGGGATGCAAGATGCTTTAGACAGAGGGGGAGGAGAGGGGGTAAGAGGGGTAGAGTTTCGAGGGGAGCCACTAGATCATTTACACATAAAGGGGAGGAGTAGAGAGACCATTGAGGGGGGATGCAAGAGGCTTAGAAGATGCTACTCACAGAAAGGGAGGTTGGAGATGGACGGGGGTGCAAGGCTACTCACAAAAAGGGAGGTTAGATGGTGGGGGGAGGGGAGGGGAGGGAGGGGGGGGAAAGGGAGGGGGGATGGGAGAGTGTTAATTAAGGGGGTTGAAAAGATGGTTTGCATGCAAGAGGAGAAGAAAGGGAGTCATGAGATGATAGAACATACAGAAGGGGAGGAAAGGAGAGTACCCAAGCATGTCAAAAATGCTGCAGTCATTGAGGGGTGATATGGAAGGGGAGGAAAGGAGAGTCTCAAGCGTCCCCAAGAACCCTCCCCCCGCCCCCCCCAACCACTACCACTGGAAAAAAGTTTAGAGTTCACGGTTTTCTATGCGGATTCTGACTGTTCTCTGCGAGCGCAGTCGAACCCTGCTATAAAAAATAAAATAAAAATAAAAAATTGGACATGTTTTGAGCCCAACCGGAATTCTGACTGGAAGACCTGGGTTGATCCGGCACGGTTGCATCCAGGCCGGTCCAACCGGCCGGTTGCCGGCCCAACACTGCTCCTAAGGCTATATTGAATACCCCTGCAACTTGGCTGCAAGCATAGCTACCTCTCATCGTGAAGGAGATATTTAATGTTGCCTCTAGTCCTAGTGGTCACGAGTGCAGGGTTGGGGCCGCCAGTGGGGGTCCGGCTAACGCAAAGACCGAGCATTTTGCGAGTAGCTGCGCCTCCCTTTTCATTGCTCCCCACCCCCAATCGAGTAGCAGCAGTGTGGGGCTGGGTTTTGTCTGGTCAATATTTGTCTTTTTTGTTTCTTTTCCTCTATCTCTATACTCTTAAAGCGAATCGCGGGTCTCGCGTAACGCTCCCGCAAGACCCGGCCGCCAGTCTTGGGAAAGTGGTTGGGACAGGAGGGGGGGCGAGCCCAGCATAAACCGGAGGTCACGTCGCGGCCCTTTTTTTTTCCGCGCCTTTACTCGCGTGTTTTGTCTTTTTTCTGTTTCTCGTGCGTGGGGTTTGGTACAGTGACGCGCCTAAAGGTCGAAGGGTCCTGAGACAGCAGACAAAAAATGAATGTGCATGTCGTTTTTTTTTTTTTTTCTCCCTCTGTTGTGAGGGCGGGGTCGTGCCGTTTGCAACACCTGTGCCCGTTAGCCGTTGTTGCCTGCTGATGCCGGCGCATGCTCCATTTCATGCATGCCGACGCGGATCGTCGACGGAGCGCTGGCGTGCGGGAATGTTCGGTGATGCGCTAACACGCAGTGATGCCGGGCGAAGGTGGAAGGGACGACGAAGTGAGAGAGAGAGAGAGAGAGAGAGAGAGAGAGAGAGAGAGAGAGAGAGAGAGAGAGAGAGAGAGAGAGAGAGAGAGAGAGAGAGAAGTTCGGAAGGCGGCCAATGCCCGTGCGTATGTGCGATTCTCGGGGGAAGGTGGAAGAGTCGAGGGAGTGCGATCCTGGGGGGAGAAAGAGGGGGGAGTAACGCCAGCGGAACGAAAGGCAGAAAAGTGAAGCGTTGATCGACTACGGGTAGTCGAAGTTGTAGGTGAGAGAGAGAGAGAGAGAGAGAGAGAGAGAGAGAGAGAGAGAGAGGGGGGGGGGGGGGGGGAGAGAGAGAGAGAGAGAGAGAGAGAGAGAGAGAAAGAGAAAAAAACAAAGTTCGGAAGGCGGCCGACGCCTGCG